GAATTGCGTTTGAAGAACTAAAATTAAATTCGGCGCTCAGTTCCAGAATTAGATATGTAGTGTATAAATTCACACCGAATTATTTAAGCACTAAAGTTTCAACTTGACAGTTTAGACCCTTTATTTTCTATTTGTTGTGTACTCGCATTAATTAAAAGACACTTTTGTTTAATATTATTTATACTCTCTTCTTTTTCGCTTCGCGAAAGAGATACGTGAGCGGAACGAGAAATGACAGTAGAGAATAGCGTGCGTTGCGCAATTCCATTATAATTTGCCGTAATTGTCGCACGTGAATTAGTGCAATTACGAGCGGTGTACGGACCTGAGTATCGTAGATGTCTCGGTAAGAAATGTCGGAACACGCGGATCGATACTGCACGAGAGCGTATAAAACCTTTTGTCCCACACTAATACGAGCGACATGTAATATGTTCTCATAAACGTCACGTGTGGATTAATCACGTCTCTATTTGATGTTTACATTGCAAGTGATATACGTCGAGTAAGTACAGTCGCTCACTATCTCATGATTCGTCGCGTGTATGGCAATTACGGAGACGCTGGGCTTATCTTTCATTAAAAATCGTCCCCTACAGAGAGTTTAATCTCCAATTATTAAATTGCCAAGTTGGAAATTAATTACTTCAAGTTGGTTACTTCAAGAAAGACCCAGCTACTTTGGCGCAAGAGGAGAATATCGCGGGCGGAATTAAAAAGATCCCCACCTTAGGTACTTGGGTTTATATATCGTTATACACCACAGTGTGCACTTAAGCCCGTATATCGCGTTATTATTCCGCTGCTCGTCCTCGGCGCAGTGATAAAATTCTAATAGCGCGATTATATATACGTAGCCCGATTCTGTATGTATTTCCTCTCGCCGGCGGAGATCGTCCTACACAAGCGGCCTTCCTCATTTATTTCTCGTTGGTCGGAACATGGAGCTTCTCACCTTATCGCAAAAATCAGTAATTAAGTTACGTTTCTCCCGGTACCCTCGAAGAACGAACGCGCGATGGAAACGATTTCGAAACGGCAGCGGCCAACCCCTTTTTAGCTCGCGGCATAGCTGTTCTTCGTGGCGAGAGCGCGCGGCATCTCTTATTAAATCTCGGCGCGAAATTATTATTAAGCGTGCACTATCCGTAGGATCCGCCGAGTACGATCCTTCGAGGCGCACGTTGCACAGATTTATTCGCGACTACAAACGTTCTAGGCTATACGTCCTTCGCGAAGTTTCACCGCGCGAGATTTATTAATTTCCGGATTATCCCGCCCGCGATTTCCGTCGTACAAATGCGATTTCAATTAATCAATAACGAATACAATTTCCTTCGAGGCCGAGGTAAATGCGATCGGTATTGAATTATAAATTCAGAGACGCAAGCAGCAGGACGAACGTTTTCGTCCAGGCGTAGCTTTTACCGCTTCGCGCTTTTTCGCGCTCGCCGTTCAATTATAGCCGCGCAGCGATATAGCTATGCAAAAAGGCCCGTTTTACTCTCGTTATCTTTGGTCCTGCATTTACAAAGAAAAAGAGCGGTCAAAGCGAAATTTATAGTACGAAGCGTTTTAACGACGTTTTTACGCCGCTCCGCTTTGGAAAGATAAATTGCGGAGCCGGCGCTCGCGACTCGTGCCCGTTTTTATCGATATTCCGATATTCCATGGAATATTGTATTACCATTTCAAAACGTAACAACGAAAATGTGATATAAACTGTCATTATTGTTGTGTGAAATTATTGTTCGTACAAAGAAAATCTCACGTTTCACATTTCGTTGGGCGCGCGATAATCATTTTTACACGAGTTTTCACGAGAGAGTACTTTCCATATATATACGAAAGAAAGCGTCAGCCATCCTTCCATCCTTTCATTCTTATTCCCGTTCCCTCCTGCGATAGGATTTTTCACGGCGATACGAATGGGACGGAAGTTAGTGTTACATACCGCACAGTTCGCGAACTATCTGCAAACTCTATTCCGACGTGATCGTCCTCACGTGGAATTCCCTAGCGTATCTCGAGATATTGATTTTGCGACACGATTTGCCGGAGGATGCCCACAGCGCTGCACACTCCGGGAAATAAATCCGCGAATGGAATCTAGGTGGAGGAAACATGAGAAATCGCATTTGCTAGATTCTATGAGACTTATCTGCCATCTTGTCGATTATTGAAAATCGGCTAACTCATTCGTCACGCTGGTGATGCCATGCCCAAGGAGAGAAGCGATAAAAAAGGAAGGGAGGGCAAAGTGAAATAGACTAATCGGAGATTCGATGACGGGGGATAAAAAAAAACCGCAAATTCCGTGGAATCTCAACTCGCATGAATAATCATCAAGAGACTCGCATTAAGTGGGAAACATTCCCATCGTTCGCCATCGCCTTATGCTTCCTTATTGATTTTCGCTGATGTACTCTGCTATTAGCTCGTACCGTCGCTTCATGCTAACTAAAACGATTATACGCTCGTCAGAGGATATTTGAAACATTTTCGCACTTTATAAAGATGTCAACATTACTAGACAAAATTTCTAGTTTATGCAAAGTATAATTTTTTTCTTAAATAAAAAAAAGAATCTTAAATTTGCGTCTCTCAGAGGATATTTGAAACTTGCTCGTCAGAGGATATTTGAAACATTTTCGCACTTTATAAAGATGTCAACATTACTAGACAAAATTTCTAGTTTATGCAAAGTCTAATTTTTTTCTTAAATAAAAAAAAAGAATCTTAAATTTGCGTCTCTCAATTGTATTGAAACAAATGTGATAAAAAAAAAAAAAAAAAAAAAAACATTCAAAGAATGTCATTTTGATGTATCAGAATTTTTTTTCAATACAACTGAGGCAAGTTTTAAGATCTTTTTATTTTTTATCTCACCAAAATGCCATTCCTCTCGAGTGCTTTTGTTAGTTTAAACATCAGAATATTTTTTCAGTGTATAATTAAAGCACATGAGTTTCAAGATTTTTTTCTTGCTTAAGAAAAGTTAAACTTTCCACAGAAATTCTGTTTACCAGATATAACCAGAAACCCTGTTTGGTCTCAACAAAAAATACATTCTTGTTAAATTCTTTTGTTGATTTAACATTTTTCTCGGTGTATCAATAAGAATATTTTCTTTGTCAAGCATTAGATTTTTTATAAATACATGCGTTTTAAATCTCATGTAACAATACTCGTGCGAGCGTTAGTTGAATAGGCGTGCAATATTTTGTTAGACAGAACCAGTTCATCGTAAATCACGAAAGGCGTGAACGGAACGACTTTCGGTATAACTCATGCGATTGTGCAATATCGAAAAGTCCTCAAGTGTCATTGGATATCTGATGTCGTCTTAAATACACACGCCGTTGCGAGCGTTGAGTTGCAAGCAATGACAACCTAACTCGAAGTCTAAACTACCGAAGGAATCAGATCCCGCCGTCAGGTGTGCATAAATAAACAATGAGAAGGATACGCCTTCGGGAGATCCGCCTAAGAGATCCATTCTTAATGAAGAAAATACTTGACAATGATTTAGATACCGTCATTTTACGGCGGCCTGATCTAACGACTACTTACTGACGCCTGACTCTATATTTTATGTCTCAAGGTTACTCGAGCGTATTACAGCAGCCGTCGCGTACGCAAGTGTAATATATTCATAGCCTGTAATGAGACTATAATTAAGCTGTACCATGGAATTATATAATTAAATTTAATGAGTGATTTAATTTATCAGCGTTCGTGCATATTGATTAATCATCGTAATCTGCAAAAAGATTGTAAAAGATGTAAGAGAAAGACTTAACGCAGAGCATCTCGCTCGACTTTAATGAAAACGGAGAAATTTTAGGGTGAGCTTTTTAAAAGAAGTGAAAGCTTCGGGAGTTCTCTAAAGGAAATTCGCCGGTATTAAGGTCGACGTCCATATTGATGAAAGTCCTCGAACAATAACGACCGTCGATCGTTAAATCCGTACGAGCGTAATAAAGCGACCGTCTCTGATACGCATAAATCCGGATTATCGCGCGTTTACTCCCACGTCTTCGCCAAACGATCAATGCATAAAATGTGGGTAATAATTTTAGCCACTAAAATACAACATATCTAAATAACTTGCACTTCCGTGTATTTAATGGGCTCTAAGCCATAGATATCTTTTCGTTATTCGATTCAATGAGCTTGACACGATAACCAAGATGACAGCTTTAACAGAAGCAACATCTCTTAAGCTTAAGCCACTCGGCTATTGCCTAAATGACTTGTGTTTGAGTTGGTAAGATAATACAAATGATTGACGGTCCACTCCCGTCCCCAAAGGGCAGTTAATGTGATCAGCAGACTGGAAGAGAAAGGGCGGGAAAGCGTGCTATCAGCAAAAAGAAAGTTTCGTGATGAAAATATTAGTCATATACTTTCTCATCAAAGTGATTTAGAAAGATTCTTGGAATAACTCTCTTTCTCCGAAGAGAAAGAGAATTATTTCAAGAGTCTTTTGATTCTAGGAGTTTTAAAAAGAATTTAAAATGAAATATGCGTATAAACATAGTACGATTGGAAAATAACTGGAAATACGCGAGTCAAAATTAAAGTAAATAGGCTCGTACGATTGCAGCACAATTTAACAGTATCGTGGCTTATTTCGAGCTTTTTAAATAATCTATTGACTGAAGAACTTTTTTCTTCTCATCTTAATATTTCGAAATAACACACTATACTGATTTATCAGAACTAGACACATCGCCACTGTTATAATAAGTATTATTTGAATAATTATTCGTTAAGGAGATTATGATATTATTCTTATCACTAAAGAAGGCTTTGTAAGTCAAAACGTTTGTATATTGAATTAATTGTATTCTTATCTATTTAAATATATTATTTCTAAGTCACCTGTTTAAAAATCTCGAAATAACGATACTGTTAAATTGCAAAATAAAAAAAAACCAATTCGATGGCTGCCTTAGTTATCTGTGATATTGATTGCCATTTGCATTTTGTTGCAGGTAACAACGATACCCGACGAGGGCGAGGACAATTTTAAAATGCCCAGAGCTTCCGTGGTACACATGACGTCGACGGCAACGAGGCCGCATCACATGTCACAAGTATATATCATTAATAAATACTGTCATTAGTTCGTTAAGTTTAATAATAAACGATTAGTTAATCAGCTAATAATAGAGGATCATCTTTACATCTTTAAATAAGATGGCTATTGTATAGCATGTACTTATATTTTAGAAATTTGTTAATGAGACATACAAAAATGGAAAACACAGAAAGAACGGTTTTACTGGAGTATCTAAAAAAATTGGACATTTGTTAAACCTTCAAAATAATTATTTGGAACATTTAAGCATGATAATTTTGCAAAAAATTTTGACATTCTACCACACTGAAAGAAATGATTTTGTTATAAGAACAAATCAAGGGAAAGCAAATGTGACATTTGTTAAAAAAACGATCGATTTGTTACGATTGTAAATTAATTCGTCTATGAAACAAATAATCAATAGCTAGCAAATAAGAAGCTCATATATATATAAAAGTCGTAGACGGTTGCAAGGTCTCAAATCGTAAGAAATTAACCAATTCTAGTTAAGTATTTTTCCTTATATTAGACTGTGCTTGGTCGGTTTCCTACGACTTAAGATTCCACGATCATCTACGAATTCTATGTAAACGAGCCTAAAGTTTATCCAAAAAATAGGTTAGATTCTATATAATTTGTTTCTGTTACTAATAATATTGGTTGATATAGCAGACTAGCAGTAATCACAACAAAATTTGTTGTCACATATTTACCGATCACCGGTTAAAAGTACCGGTGGCTTGTTAAATTAAGAAAATCCTTTCTCTCAGTGCATCATCAATTTAAATATTCTATTATTTTATTGGTCCAACAAAATTGTTTTCAAAATTGTATCTAACTGAATGTTTAGATGCTTTAGCAAAATCGTTCTTTTCGTATAAAGCAGCGTCTACAATGAGATTTTAAGGGATGAAACTTAAGTTTCAAGCCTCAGACTATCTTAATTGACCAATCATAGTCGAATGTGAGGAGAATATTTGATTATTTGGTTAATTTCTTACGACTTAAGGCTTAAAGCTTAAAATTTCATTTTAGACGCCGCTTAAAAATGGTAACTAAAGAACAGTTCGTCGAAAGTGCTTTAGTGTGACTTTAGTGTGTCTTTCCCACGATACCTAACTATACTGAATTTACAACGATCATAAGTATATATATATATATATATATTCAGCGAACGCGTAATGTCCTTCAACAATTTATATTTCTCCGCCATCGGTAGAACGCGGTTCTTAAATAATCAAGCGAGATAGTGAGACGAATCTTTTTATCTGTGGTTGGCAAGGGGCCATATTGATATGCAAACACCGAAGACGGCACCGAGCGTAATTGAGTGGTCCGGTTTAAAATGGATATCGTGTACACGGAGGCCTTTCGGGAGGGCAGGAGAAGACCGCCATCGTACACCCACATATACCGAGTTGCACACTTAACACAGCATCCGACCGACCATCCTCATAATCGTATAAGCGGGAAGACGACTTTTAAAGCTCGTTTTTCCTCTCCCTTTCTCTCTAGCCTTTACCCCTCGACTAATAGTTTTAAGCTAATGGCTCCCTCGGTTAACTTCGATCCGACACTCTGACGCACATCCCCGCGCTTGTGGAACTGCTCCGAGTATTTCGCACGGCTTGATGCAAACGAGCTTTTAACGTCGTGTCCGAGAATGAGAAAGGAATAGCAGAAGGAGGAAGAGAAGTGTAAAAGAAGGGTGAAAGAACGCCCAAAAATAATATCGCCAGAAGCGTTTCCGAACGCAAATTTCTTACGTTCGAAAGAAAAATACGCTCTCGCGTGAGAATATGTGTTTTTTTTAGCTCGTTAAAAACTGTTCGCCATTACTGCGATATTGCGAATATGCGGCGGATCGCGCAGATAAACGCGCCTCGTATATTCTTAACGCATCTCGTAAACCGTAATTAATATACCAAATTCTCCACCGTCGCTCTAAGAAACGGGAAACATATCGGCGCTCGTTACCGTGCCCAACGTTTTCCTGAATGCGCTATTCATCGCGTGGCTCGATAATTAGTCGAAGAAAGCGATTCAGGCGAGCGCGCTCGTAAACTCGTGTTCATTACCGCTGTTGCTGTTCGCGCATATCGTATTATACGAATAATTAGGATTGATGACGTCCAACTATTTTCCGCGGGGCCTCTGAGAATATTCTCTAAAAAAAGCGGTAGTTGCATAAAAATTATTATAGAGATTAACTCTCCTGGCCTGTTCAAATTTATACTGTGAGAAAAATTTATCTGGTTGAAAACGAATAAACTAAAAAGTTCTAATTGTACCAATCAAAATTTTATTATGACGAACTAAATTTCTAGTAGATTTAACCAGAAAATTCTGAGATTCGTTCAGGTTCAATCAGAATTTTAATTAGTCCAACCAGACATTTTCCTCACAATCTGTACTCCATGTAATCATATCGTTTGTGTCAATATAATTAAAAAGCTCTAAAAATAATAAATCTTTATAGAAAAAAGATCATAAATTAATAGACGAAGTCATCAAAGAAAAAGTTTTTTAGTAAAATATTGGTAAAAAATTACATTCTCAATAGATCAAATAGAATAGACTAACAGGATTATAAAAACATCCTGGTGATAACTAATAAATCCAAAAGCTGCGTACAATGCAATTCGCTTTTAACTGCGAGATATGTAAATAGTTTGAATTCTCGCGACACGTCGGCCGAACTTACAGCTCGATGTACTCTATCGTAATTACAAATCTCGAATGGAAAGTGAGAATATAATCGTAAATTTGTCCCTCTTCGAAGTCAAGACTTTATATTCGTATTCCAATCAATCGATAAGGCGCACAAAATTATGTCTCGGATCGCATTATAATTTTCGCCCTCAGTCATTGGGCGTAGATGAAGGAAAGAAAAAGTCTAATTGCAAAGTGGCGCTTGACGTCCCACGCATTATTGTCGACTAGAGAAACAACGGTATCATGAGCCTCTCTGGCGAGACGATAGAAAGGTTACACATGGCGACACGTCTAATCGCGCACTACGACCGTTTACGCTCGCTGCTCCTAATGGCGAGAGAGATAATTGAAAGTGCATGCAAATTTATGTGGGATCGGCGGCGCCGCTTGAAATTCCTTATCGAATATACGCTCGTCGTTCCGCACGTCACGAATATGAGTTACAAGTCATTACGCATTAAAACTGAAAAACGCAACCGTTTTTCACAGAACACTACTATTGTAGCTTCTTAATCAACGTGTTTAATTAATTGGTCACATAACAATCTTGGCCGCTTACAAGATTCACAGAACAGTACAGACACTCGCGAGACGGAAAAATAAATTTTGCTTATAGCGGAAAAACAAATTTTGCTTTTCGAAGCAAAAAAAAAAACAATCAAACGTAAGCTCACATTCAAGAAACATGAAACAGTAATCGAAGTGGATCCGCGCTCGATTATCACGATTTCATTCAATGTCATTTAAGCACAATTAATATATATCCTATCAAAAACTTAAAACGGAACTATCGGCAATTTCGTTGTTCGTATTACACTATAAATTATTGTCGATATCGATATGACTCGTATTAAACTTTTACTTATCGCAATGTTGACGTTATAAATTATAAACGCCAATATTGCGATGAGCAAAAGTTTAATACAAAATAAGTATCGACGAATTTTTATAATGATTATTGTGGATAACGTGGATTTATGGATCGATGTGAGCGCGTTGTATTTTGTGGTGCAAGATAAATGATACTAAGTTGTCTAACAAACGCTATCGCTTGCAAGACTTATAGTGGAAGTCGAAGCAAAAAAAAATAATAAAACATCAAGCTTATATTCAAGAAATATGAAACACACAGTAATCAAAGTGAATCCATGATCGATATGATTACGAATTCACTCAACACCATGTAGGTACAATTAATATATATATATATATATCCTAACAAAAACTTAAAACCGAACTATCGGCAATTTCGTTGTTCGTATTACACTATAAATTACTGTCGATATCGATATAACTCGTATTAAACTTTTACTTATCGCAATGTTGACGTTATAAATTATAAACGCTAATATTGCGATGAGCAAAAGTTTAATACAAAATATTGATGAATATTTATAATGATTATTGTGGATAAGATGGATTTATGAATCAATGTGAGCGCGTTGTATTTTATGCAAGATACTAAGTTATTTAACAATAAACAAATAGATTAGCTAATAACACGAATTAAAAAACTAAAGTCGTTCAAGTTATGAAAAGAAAGTTATCTCGAGCAAAAATTTGTAGTATGCAAAATCGAGAATATCATACATTACAGAATATATTTAATATTAAAAAATCGAGAACGACGAATATCTTCTGACTTACCGCAATGCATTCTCATACTAGCATAACAAATAGAAATTACATAATATTTTAATTTTATACTTGCATGAATTTAATACCGTCATTTTCTCATAATAGTTTTCTGCAGTCGTTTGACCTATTTCTAAAAAGATGGGAATCGGAATACCAATAAGACAAATAATGTCGCATTCAGATTAGAAGATCCGTGCATCGCAAAAAGTGCATGTACCGCATAAAGATACGTTTACTGAACACAAAGAAATAGACACGTAGGAACATAGACTTCGCGCAGATATCTTATGTCATCATTCGCCGTAAGATCGTGGATGCTGAGCGTGCATGCGGTGACAAAGATAACACTGGAAGGTCTTACATTGAGATTTAAATTTTAATGAGTCAATGAAAAGAATCACGAATTTATACCCGTAGAAAAAAAAACAACATCGCCATTAGATATTTTCATCACCATAAAATCATTATAAAATACTGAATCTCATACTTGCACATTTTCTTCGCGCGAGTTCATTCCTCGCAAAATTATATATCGTTGTTTGGAAAAGCGATATACGCGCCCATAGTTTCATATAAAGAGGAACTTACATGCGTCGCGCGAAGGATGCGTATTATAGGCGTCGACATATATGGATACGCGGTACTTTGAAATTGAATCTGTATATGTGCAGATGTATACATATGCATGCACATAAATGCGGGGCCACGCGAAATGTTTAGTATTCCTCGTGAGGGTCCAAGCCCAGCTTTCAATTTGCGGCTAGCAATTTGTTCGCCAGTTGCACCCCCGTGTAGCACAAATACGCGATGCATTCTGGATGTATGTATGCATCGTAGCAAAGCATCATAGTGCGCAATGGACGGATTTATATCTAACGTTACGGTTTCAACGCTGTTCAGAGTGCTTCTCGATTAGGGGACGTTACAAGATGGAGATTCGATAAAAGAGAACTCTATGTTTCTATATCGATGGATTTTCGATAACATGGATATAGCAAATTGAATGCTTTTAAATTGAAAACGTGCGCGCAATGCAGAAATATTTCACGAGGTGAACGTAGAACGCATTGTGGAAGTAACGACTCCTTTCAACGTCGCCGGACTCTGTGATATAGAGCGGTACGCGTCACACAAAGAACGCGGTAAAAGGAATACACAGGCGTAAATTTCAGTCACTTGCCAACGTAAAATAAACGAAGTTGACGTTCGCACCGCTGTGTTATACCGCGTTCCTGCATAAATTCTTTCGCGTCAACGTAAAAAGACCATTTCACGCGTGAGTTCATTAGAGCCTGTTTATCTTGATAGGTACTGGCGACCCTGGCACTATCTATGGGAACTCTCTCCTCCGGTTTGGCCAAGGGTTACACCTCGCCCGCGTTAGACTCCATATTGGATAATCAACCGCCCCATCTTTATCAATCACCCAACAATGACACGTGGTAAGAATTCGAATGTTTAATAACTAGATTATATAGGTCTGTTTTCTATAAATAATAATAAGACTCTTAATATAAAAACAATAATAATAAATCAAGATATTAAGGATATGTAAGATTCAAAAGTTGGTGCGCTTCTATTTTCTATAATTAAACTAGTGTATACTTTTGGAATTTAAAGTGGAATAGTATATGTTTGATTATTTAACAAAAGCCAAAAGGAGTTCAAGTACAGTCTAGTGCAGAAATAATAAACAGACCTTATATTAGACGATTCCATGACAATCAAGTTTAAATGGTGTGGTTGAAACATAAACATGTAATCTTTTGGCCCATTTTTTTACATTTATATCATTACTCAATCTGGATTTAAATATGTAATATCTCATAGCTGTTAATATAAACATATTTTTATTTGATTCGCAATAAAAAGAAAAAAGAGCATATTTTATTATTTTCATCATCGTAATAACATTACCAAAACCAATAAAATTACTTGTGTAATTTATCAGTGATAGAGAGCACCGTAAATTTTACAAATAATTTGATCAGTTTTTGTTATTATCACAAATGAAAGTAATGAAGTATGCAGCATCAAATATACTCTTTTTCATCTTCTCTCATTCAATCGAATGAAAAAGATGTTTATGTTAAGATTATACGTTTATGATTTAGCGCCATTTAAACTTGATCTTAGGAACTCTTATGGAATCATTTAATTGATCTAATGATGCATGTAAGAAATTCACTGTTCCGTGTTACACGAACAAAAGTTTCGTCTTGTTAAATAATATCGGATTTCAATCCGAAACGTCGACATGGACAATTATATCCACGCGGTGGCTTATTCGAGCATCACGTTCCTGGTTGCTAATTCCGGGATGCGTTTACTGCGACGACAACATGCAAACTCTACTGGGAAGTAGAGCTGTTCACAAATAATACTCGACAACTGAGACACGGCTGCCAAGAGAGATTACGTTTGCACCTGACGTCTACTTTGGCATTCTGAGAACAATACCCAATACATCGAGAGGGTCTCCTGGACGCGTCTGAATTACGCCAAGAGTTCAGACAATATAATGCCGCGCGATTTTAATCACATTTACGCTTTCTTGTGTAGGTTGGCTTTTTCGGTTACGCAACAGGAAGCTTCGTGGGTTGCATCGCTGTCCATGCTGGGCGCATGGTTCGGTGCCATGATCGGTGACTGGATAATGCGGAGAGGTCGTCGTTTGGCCTTACGCATGACATCCTTGCCTCTGGCAGGAGCCTGGGTCTTAACGGGCGTCGCACCGTGCGTGGAGTTGGTGTACGTCACGAGTTTCATCGGCGGGCTTTGCTGTTCAGTCATCACCATGGTGGCGCAGGTAAAAAAAAAAAAAGAGATTCGATTCGATTGATTTAAAAATTAAATCTTAGTCGACGCATGAGCAAATTCTTTTGGTACTTTTGACAGGTGTACATATCGGAAATCTCGATGCCGGGTATTCGCGGATGTTTGTCAGCGATGTTGAAGGTGCTCGGTCACGTTGGTGTCTTGCTGTCGTACATAGCCGGCACATATCTGAATTGGCGGCAAAGCGCACTACTAGTGGCCGTCGCGCCGTCAATGCTCTTTTTGGGGACCCTCTTTATACCCGAGACACCATCGTATCTCGTACTAAACGGCAAAGATGACGAGGCTGCCAACAGTTTGCAGTGGCTGCGCGGAGAACACGTTGATATAAGACACGAATTGCAGGTAATTTTCAAAGTTTATGAAAAATGAATAACTTCAAATCATTGTTTAATCCATAATATCAAATTACACGGCTTAAATTGCTTTTAATCATCTCTATAGGTCACTGCTTTTACTCAATATATCGTTAATTTAATTAAAACAATGAAGTTAAATGATTTAACCCAAGAAAATTAAATTCAACTCAAATGTATTAAGCTCGACTCTTATTACTAATTTATTATTTACCCAGTGAATACGTTAATATAAATGTTGTTTATTTCGAAACTGAAGATTGATTTACATTTTTGAAAGTCATTTACAAAAATAGCAAAAGGGATTGAGTTACCATTACTCCTTTGATAAACTGACAGTAAATAGAGCGGCTGTCTTCTCATATATCTTTCGACGCAAATCAGCGAGCGTCAATCGCAAATAATGTTCGATATAAATTTGCAATTAACGATATGCCTTCAGGTCATCAAAACGAATATTCTGGCTTCGAGGGCTAAGCAGTACGAGCTAAGTTTTAAGAACAGCATGTTTACACCGAGACTATATAAACCCATTGCTATCACGTGCGGTCTGATGTTCTTCCAACGATTCTCCGGCGCGAATGCGTTTAATTATTATGCGGTACTTATTTTTCGTCAAACCCTAGGTGGAATGAATCCTCACGGAGCGACCATAGCGATCGGATTTGTACAGCTATTGGCTTCTTTACTGTCAGGTACATTAAATAATTTCAAACAATACTCAGTATATTACTCGATAATACTCAAATAATAACAATAAAATTAAATTCCATAATTAATAAGATTGTGATGTGAATAAAATAAATTATTCTCTTTTTTATTAGATATATCTGCGTTTATCATACTTAATCGAATTCATATCACTCGCAGGATTTTTGATTGATATAGTCGGCAGACTACCGCTTTTGATAGCCAGCACCGTTTTCATGTCATTGGCGCTCGCCGGTTTCGGCAGCTACGCGTATTATGTGTCTCAAACGCAAAATCTTGGCTACGTGGACTCGGCGGTGGTGGGCCAACATGACTGGATACCGCTACTCTGCGTACTCGTGTTTACGACCGCTCTCGCCCTGGGCATATCGCCAATTTCTTGGCTATTGATTGGCGAACTATTTCCGCTGGAGTACCGCGGCCTCGGCTCTAGCATTAGCACGAGCTTTAGCTACTTTTGCGCGTTTTTCGGGATCAAGCTCTTTATGGACTTCCAGCAGGTGAGGAGGTTTTCATTTTCTTTTTAAAATATTAACAAGTTACTACAAGTTACTACAAGTTAGACTTTAAAGACTGAGTTAGAAACTAAGTTCGAGATTCTTCGAAGTAAGATTTTAAATGAAAAAATTCATAACAAGGATGGTTTTCATGGCGTTTTAAGTAACATTATTTTGCTGGAGTAATTTGCCCAGATATAACATTTTATTCATACAACATTATTCTCTACCCAATTAATCAATGACGAACTTCTGTAATCATGCAATTAATAACTTAAGTTGTGAGAACTTCTTCTCTTTTTAGAGTCTCGGTCTACATGGAGCCTTTTGGTTTTATGCCGCCGTGGCGGTCTGCGGACTGTGCTTCGTAGTCTGCTGCGTGCCTGAGACGAAGGGCAAGCAGCTGGACGAGATGAATCCGGATTATGCGCAAGCACGGTAGTATAAGGCCTCGCTGACGGGGGGTCTCTCGAACTTAGAGAAGGCGAACAAGCCTTTACCGGGTGGTGCTTATCCGAACGAGCACGATCCGCGGGATCTCTACCGCAACGATCCGTCAATAGCGACTTCCAGCATCGCGATGCCGTCTGCGCGCGTCGCTCACCGCAAATTGTCGGATTACTGCGGTATCTTCGCCGAGAAGACCAATAGAATCGGTAGAAATGTGGAGAGCTTTATGCAGTCTCGCGGTTTGCTACCGATTCGTCGCTTGGTCGACGAAACACCGCGTCGTGACGCGCTCGGGATTAACGGCGACGTGATCAGGAACGACCCTCCGTCGCGAGTTGATCGAGAAATAAGCGAGAACCGTCGTCGCCAGTACGAGAGTCTTGATTACGAGCGGCCACGGAGGATCGGCGGTCAGAAGAAACGCGTGGCGTACTCCAACAGCACTTATCCCCGGGACCCAATGCGAGCAGACGCGAGTTACGTTCGTCGTTTCAACGCCACGGAGGCACCCCGTCGTGCCAACAGGCGCGAGTACGCAGAAACGGATTACGACGCGACGGACACCTGGAGACGAGACTTGGACCTCGCGAGGGGAGGTCTCTATGTCTCCAAGCCGATTTTAAGAAATGGCATCAATCATAGTGGAGACGAGAGGCTGTATTACTCGACTCTACCGCGGCGCAGCAGAACCATCAACTTTAAGGATCAAGCACGCGACTCCCCGGAGGGAGAACGACGGCGCACGTATCCGAAGAGCCTACAGGATCTAACGGATTTAGAACTCGATGACGTCACGTATCTCCCATCCGCCCGCGATGGGAATGATACTCGAGAGGAGAGACTCGACGACAATTATCGTCGACGTAACAGGTATCGTCGAGAGGAGGGCGAATTACCCTTCGACGATGATTATCTCAAGCTCTGCAGAAGCCTGTCGAGATTAGATAAGTATCCGCGAGGCAGTAGATATGGACCAGGTCAAGTACACTATGAGAGAGAATGCAGAACATTCGGCAAGGATACGGTCGCCTTTATCTACTATAAGACGTGCTATTTATGATCTAAAAAGAAAAGCGATACAAACGAGTGGTCGGGGGTTCTCTCATCGATAGACCGTCCATCGATATCCATGGCTCACGATCTCAAGCAGAAATGCGCATATGGCCGATATTGGTCGTTTCGAATCTTTTGTTCCGGATGCATTTAACGAGCAGAAGTATTTTCTACTCGATAAAATGGCATAGGGTTTTGTGTTGAACTGACAACTACAAAATTTATCAGTAGTGAATCGTATTACAGAAAAAAATCCCTTCAAATTCATATCTTCTTAATGATAACATATCTTTATCAGGATGTAAAGAGGATACTTGCGTGAGGAAAAAAAGATCTGTATAAAAAAACAACCGAGTAACCGAATCACAAATTGCCTTCACGTCTGGCTTTAATAATTAAATCGTTTCTCGACTGATAATGAAATTGTATCATCGAGCTTTAAATAGTAACTTCTTACGTATAGTAACTTCTCTAAAAAAAAAAAAAACATGATATCACTTTTTTTCAGAAATCATCTTACAGAGCTAGATAAGTTTTTTTTTTTTTAAATAAACGACATAAATTTTTATGCTCATTCCACACTAATTATTCAGTATCGTATCTCTTTGAGATGTTTTTGAAGATATAAAGGATAATTATAAAAAATGATCAAAAACGATACCAAATAATATCTAAATAAATACTAGCATCAGATTAGATCTACGTAAAATCGCACCGTGTAAACTATTTTATGCTTATCGTATTATGTCCAACTTTATATTAATTTCCGGAAATACGGTTTTTTTCGGATTGAATTATATTATTTACTAATAAATTTTTAATATTCAAAGCTTATTCAAGTCAAGAGGCAATGCTATCATACCGTACTTTCCAAGAAAGCGCGACAATATTTTACGCGAAAAAATGTGTATACCACAAGTAAACAATTTAACAGAGTCCTTAGAATAGGCTCGATAGACTGCTCGTAGACTGCCAAGCTAGTCTTTCTGTAAAGTAGTCAGTATATGCAATAAGTTGCAATAATTTCTGCAGCTATATTTTCAGCCGTTAATGGTGTTCGAGCACCATTTCTTTCGAGAATATCGCGAATAAACCTCAAGAGAAAAGGTAAAAGACAATTACCAACGCTAAAAACGATGTTTTTACAGCTAATGTGCTGCAGGGACATTCGCGTTATTAAACAAGTTTACGACAATATATAGAGTATACTTTTGCGGACGTAAGCAAAATACTTTTTGCTAACTTCAGAATATCGAGGCCTCGTTGCATAGCACAGGCATCATTGACTTAACTACGACAATATCGATTTGTAGATATATCTACATATGTTTCGTATAAGATGCGTATTGTGTACATTGGTTATTGTATATTATATACATATATCTCTGTCGTATTCGTGGAACTTACGCAATTAGTGACGATACGATGCGATATAGCCGATAAACAAATTCCCGACAATACCACAAATTGCTAATTTCGCGAAGCCGGTAGAGCGAAATTCGGTACTATTAGCTTTATGAAAATATTAATGCATATGTACTACGTGTAACGTTGAAAGCAGCTATACCTAACACTAAATATCTGCGGGATCGAGGGTGAGTTCCTCATCTGTATAACTAATCTTGATTATTTATCTAAGTCTTCTGCTTTCGACGATTTCCTGCATTTCTCAAAAGTGTAGCCATTCGAATGGCGGAGTCGCGATTATAGACGAAAGTCTCCATAATGATGTACGTATTTTATATTTTTATATAGTTTGTAGAATAACGTTGAGAGAGAGAGAGAGAGAGAGAGAGAGAGAGAGAAAGAGAGCGATTCACATGACGAAGTATTTGTTAGAAGTTGATTACACTTTGCGGATCACAGCTTGTATATCTGTGATAATCCATGCGGGAAAAAAATTTCCTTAAAATATCTATCGAAACTATATAATATCAACGAAAAACAAAATGCCGAACGTAATATAACGAATTTGATTTGAGAGACAAATACAATACGAAGAGGAAATTTTTCGTCGCGTGGGTCGCGCAAACAGAAATTATCACATCTGTAATTATCTATCGAACCCGTGAGTCATATCCCTGCCATATCCTATACGTAACGAAGTGTATGAAAGTCGCGGAAGCACATTAAATCCCTGTACTTAAATATTTCCGCGTGTTTCTGTAGACAGTGATCGATCGATACGATGCGGGGGAGAGAAAAATCTGCGTTTGCGCAAAACTATATTGATTCGTAAAAAATACATTCCATTTTTTATATATATATATAAATTACACGTATGCGGTACGCGAGGAAAATAATGTTGCCAACGTCGAAATCGTAAATTCGTAAAACGACATATCACGTATAAGAGAAATAATATTTTGGTATCGGCATTACTGTCTACAAGAAGCGAGTACACGCACTTTCCTATCAAGAAAAATATCTTGCTAAATATATTACATAAAGTGTTTTGAAAAAATATATACCAGCATATCCTAATTAATACTTTATTGTGAAAAAATTTTAGTATAATTATTATTTTTCATTTTTTTATATTAAATGTAAGCGTTGGTGATCAAATTATATTTTTGCTACAAGAAATAATCAATTATCTAAAATATGAGACTATTTATCTAAAATATAATTTGTCGAATTAGTAACATATTTGAATGTTTAAGCTAGTCATTTTACAGTGGTATATATATTTTCAAAGCATTGTATATTTTATGCTCAAGGGCTTGGATACAGTATTGGGTAATGTCTATAATTAGTTTTAACGCGGTGCAATGCTCGTGAAACGAGTGTACATAAGATATACGATTAACTTCCGAATTTTACGTAAATCATAAAAAAAGTTCTCGATAAGATTATATCGTTCTTAGTATATACCGCCGAATAAGCGAGCTTTACTATTTGCCGAGTGGCATATTATATATTCACAGCGACCACCTTGCGTCAGATCTTCCATGTAATAAGAAAAAAAAAGAAAATCTCTCCTTTCCCTTGTAGGTATGTTAAACTATATAAAACAAAAATCTGCACTGTGCACTCTCGTGAATTGAAAATTTATCGTAACATGTAGCGGTAATAGTGAAATTCAGGATCAAGATTTCGCATTACTGCATGTTTAGGGTCACGATAGTTCCGATAAAATGTCTGTATATCGCGTACGCGGATACGTATGTGTTCGTGTGCAAGAAAACTCACGAATGAGTGGCGTGTAATTGCGGGTGACGATGACAGCTTTTAGATGTACGCCACGCATGTAGATTTATCCCTTTATTCCTCTTTTATGCGAAAATGGCAAACATTAGAGGTTGACAAAGACTATAACTCGAGATTGAAATATTAATCTGCATTAGCAAATTAAAAGTACGTACTTAGCACGTGCAATCAGATTACAGCAAATAAGGATTCAATCTAGGAATTCGAATTTATATACATATGTTACTACACGCGATATATTATATTATCTGAACGTGATGAAAAAGCTTTATGGAAAGAATCACGTTATAATTCTACTTAACGACAATAAATTCACTATACAATTTATCGACAATAAATAGTTCAAATGGGAATTAGCGCTGGCCGTCGCTAAGATGATTAAATCTTATATTATATCATCACAGATACTAAAATTATGAGGACGTATTTTCAATGAAGGAAAAAAAAGAGAAAAAGAGAAAGAGAAAGAAAAAGAGGAAAGAGAACAGAATAAATAAGAAGAAATAAATATATATGCATACACCGATCTTGTCTATAACGAGCCACGTTTAGCTTCGCTTGCTAGATTTAATATTTTTGTAATGATGCCTAGGAATGTATAGCTGATGTATTTGTACCTTCATAGAGTTAACATTTAGATTATACTCTCTATAAATGTTGCATCTTCAATGCGATGCAACGGAGAAATCAACTCTTATATAACGCGATGGAATATAATATTGTATAAAATATATAAGAATGATTTCTGTGCAAGAAGTGAGACAAGACTGTGCGTCGGTTTCTCGCGAATACGAACTCGAATTCTATCATCGAATATAGAAAATATCGATTCTCCTACGCTTTCTCTTCGATGTAACGAAAACACCAACGGGAATTCTTTGATTTATTTCAGAGGCCGGCCATTACGTTCGTTAATTAAAATAATATGAGGTAGCACAAACGTGATCTTGCCGATACGATGATTTATTTTAGGAGGGTAGATAAGACACCCTCAACAATACCGTGTATTTATGTTACGTATAAGTATTGTACTTAAGTGATTTTTGTTAGCGTTTGCGTTTACACTTCTCTAGAAATAATAAATGACGTATCGAATATATACAATCGCTAATAACACTTCTGGCGGAACCAACACTTGCGTGTTTGTATAGAGACCTATATACAAATGTATAAACGTCAAAAGAAAAGACGAATTATGAGAAAAAATAAGTGTTTTTATTAATTCGTTGCCTGAATCTCATAAATTCTTTAAACACTGTTGAAAAAACTATAAAAAAATTAAATAAATCTCTCACATTTGAAAGTGGAAAAGTTTTTCTGTGAAAATTTTAAAAGTTTTATGACATCTAAAGTGTTTTTAAAAATATCATTAAATTGTATGCGAAAATCAATATTTTTGCATGACTAGAATAAATAAGAAAAAGAAAAAATTATTTCAATTATTTTTTTTTTAAATATCGTTTAATAATTTTATAATTCGAATAAACTCATTATTCGATTTTATTATTTTTTTTAATCGTTTTGAGACTTACATATTTTCTGTTTTACTTTATGTCTTCTAAAAGTTTTCAACAATTTGAAAACTAACACAATATCGATTTTTAGAAGTCGAATAAAATTTATGTGTTCGATTTCTCAAAGTTAAAAGCAGGATTGAAAGTATCAATTTTATCTTTTTGCGAGAGCACGTATTTTTATCCGAAGGCAAGTTCATTGTACGAATAACTCTGTTGCGAAAAACTTTATAAAATCTGCTTTTTATAGCTGAACTAGTGTACACTTTCTATACTTAAAAGATTTGTTCTTTTTAGCTAAACTTCTTGTGCATAGCTCACACATCTTGTCTCTTTCCTTCAACGCGAAAAGAAAATAAACATTCTGCTGAACGCAGATCATTCAATGTAAAGTAAACAAAGCAAGTCGCAATAAATAACACGTCTAAAGCCTGTGGCACAAGATGTTATTTTCCCGCTGGATTTCTTGTGTTTTTTAAAGAAAATTATTGAAATTGCATCACACAGAATACAGAATTATTCCTAGTAATTTACAAAAACGCACACAGGAAAATATGCATCGTATGCCGCAGGTTTAAAAAAATCGCTAGAAAAGTCACTTGCATAAACATATGCATAAAGAAAATCATCCAATCGTATTTTACATTTGTCTTTATGACAGAAATGTGATTGGATATTTTTCTTTATGCATATGCTTATGCGTTGTATGCAAGTTTGTGTGGAATGGCCCTAACATCACGTAGTACTCAAAGGGTTAACAAAAATTACACAAATAACAATACCAAATAACAAAAGGCATCTTTAAACGGCCAAGCAACGGCCATCTGTGCCAACAGTCGCGTACTAACCGATACAACAACCGAAACTTGAACATGAAACCTGAACATGAAAGTTTCGAATCCGCCAAACTTGCGGACAAAATAGCGTACAGAAAACGCACTTACCAAGCTGCGGCACCGACATGTATGTCTCGCAATCCACCAGGAACTGCCCCACCTGCACCGCGCCGAGAGCGACGATTCTCTTCGTCAGGAACTCGATGGTCTGCGGGCCGGTCCGGTTCTCAATCATCGGGTACTGTTGCAACCTGTCAACAGCATATGCAAATCATTCACTGCTACAAACTCAGACGAGCGTTGTCGATTACCATTTATCCCGCAGCGGCACGCGTGCGACATAACCTAACTTCTGCGCGTCTGCCGGAGAGACGCGACGCATGCATTTCTCTTTCGTGATTGATCGTGCGACGAAGAATCATGTGAATGTTTAGAGACACGAATACTACTTACACGGTGACACCCATTCTATGAGCTACGTCGTTATTACACAATGAGTTTCGAATAGAACAAACGTCGCGAAACAGACACTACGTCACTACCCGGCGAACACTTGTCGCGTCTTGTTCAGTCCTGTTGTCTTCGTGTCAACTGCAATTCGCGCGCGATTTAAAACATGTCACGCCGGCGCGCCATCTGATTTTCGAATCGAGAAACGTTTTACCAAGCAG